CAATCTATAGATTCAAGCAGTCCCCATTAAAATACCAACGACATATTTCACAGAACTAGAACAAATACTTCAAAAGTTCATATGGAACCAAAGAAGACCCCGAATAGCCACAGCAATTTTGAAAAAGAAGAGGACAAAGTAGGTGGGATCACAGTACCAGATATCAGATTACACTACAAAGCAACGGTAATCAAAACAGCCTGGTACTGGCACAAGAACAGGCATATAGACCAGTGGAACAGAATAGAGAACCAAGAAATGGACCCAAGGAAATATGCTCAATTAATATTTGACAAAGGTGGCAAGAGCATACAGTGGAGTAAAGACAGCCTCTTTAATAAACGCTGTTGGGAAAATTGGATAGCTACATGCAAAAAAAATGAAACTAGACCATCAACTTACACCATACACAAAAATAAACTCAAAATGGATAAAAGACCTAAATGTGACCTGTGAATCCATAAAAATTCTAGAAGAAAATGTAGGCAACAAAATTTCGGACATCATATGCAGCAGAATTTTCACTGATACATCACCTAAGGCAACGGAAACAAAGGAGAAAATGAACACATGGGACTACATCAAACTCAAAAGCTTCTGCACAACAAAAGAAACAACCATGAAAATGAAAAGGCAACCCACTGTATGGGAGAACATCATTGCCAATGATATATCAGGTATGGGGTTAATTTCCAAAATATATAGAGTACTTATACAACTCAACAAAGAACCCAATTAAAAAATGGGCAGAGGAGCTGAATAGACACCTCTCCAAACGGGACATACAAATGGCCAAGAGACATATGAAGAAATGCTCAACATCACTAATCATCAGAGAGATGCAAATTAAAACAACAATGAGGTATCACCTCACGCTTGTCAGAATGACCGCCATCAACAAATCATCAAACAAGTGTTGGCGAGGGTGTGGAGAAAAGGGGACTCTAGTACACTGCTGGTGGGAATGCAGACTGGTGCAGCCACTATGCAAAACAATATGGTGTTACCTCAAAAAATTAAAACTTGAACTTCCATTCGACCCAGTGATCCTGCTTTTAGGAATATACCCTAAGAAGCCTGAAATACCAATCAGAAAGAATATATGTATCCCCATGTTCATAGCAGCACTATTTACAATAGCTAAGATCTGGAAATAGCCCAAGTGTCCATCAGTAGACGAATGGATAAAAAAGCAGTGGTACATATACACAATGGAGTACTATGCAGCTGTAAGAAAGAAAGATCTCTTATCCTTTGAGACGACATGGAGGGACCTGGAAAGTATTATCCTAAGTGAAACAAGCCAAGCAGAAAAAGACAAATACCACATGTTCTCACGTATGTATGGAATATAATGAATATAACAGTCTGAGGAATAGGGTAGACCCAGAAACACGGAAGTAGGGTACAGACTGACAACCCTCAGAAGAGGGGGTGGTGGGGTGTGGGAAGAGATAAACCACAGAACTTATGTGCATGTATGCATAACCAATGGACATGGACAACAAAGCCGGGGACAGGGGAGGAGGGTGTCAATGGGGTAAAAAAGGAGAAAGATCTGTAACAAAAATAAAATTAAAATAAATAAAGAAATAAAAAGAAAAGGAAAGTCTTTTTGCATGAACAGAGCATAACTTTGAGCCCAGCATCATTCTGAGGTGTCCCTCTTTGACCACACTGGCAGATTCTTTGGTCAGGAACTTTCATGCATTAATATGTTATATGGTGGTGGATGATTGCTTATTGTTTTTTAAAAAATTATTTTTATTTAATTTTTTAGAGAGAGGACAGGAGAAAAAGATAGAAACATGGATTTGAGAAAGAAACACTAATCTGCTGTCTCCTGCACGCCCCCTATTGGGGTCCGAGCCTGCAACCCAGGCTTGTGATGGGAATAGAACCTGGACCTCTCAGTCCATGGGACGACGCTTAATCCTTGGAGCCACACTGGTCAGGCAGATGGTTTATGGCTTTGTATTAAGCACATACAAGATAGTCAAGGCTGAATCATCAAGCACTTGCTGGGTGACTCTACCCTTTATCCTTGGTGAAATAACTAAACTAGGGTCCCTAGCTGTGAGTTAGGAAGCCCCCTCCAAACCTTGCCTGTTCCTGTTTGCTCATTACAGCCTTCTCTCCCATCCCCAGCATTGATTAAAGAAACACTTTTGGGGGCAGATTGGCACAGTGGTTTATCACTCTAAATAGGAGCCCTTTTGGATATTGGATTTATCTATTTTGATTTATATAGAGAAATTAATAAAGCTCATTGTTGTTTATTTTTAACTTTTTTCCCCTTTATTAATTTTTTAGAGAGAGAGGAAGGGAGAGGGAGAGAGAGATAGAAACATCAATGAGAGAGAACATCAACCGCCCACCTCCTGCATGCCCTGCACTGGGGATCGGGCCCACAACCTGGGCGTTGCCCTGACCGAAAATTGAACCAGGGACCTCTTGGTGCATGAGTCGATGCTCAACCACTGAGCCACACTGGCTGGGCTATTTTTAACTTTTGTTAAATCCACATTTATTTTCTAATTCTGCTGTCCTCAGACCTCTGGTTCAGGCGTTACTCATGTTCTAGCTGCCTTGCCACAGTCATTTCTTGGCAGACCTTCCCCTGTCCTCCACCCATTCGTTCATTCTGTGAATTTTCAGTGTATTAAGAATTCAGATTTTCTTTCCCAGTGTCTGGTAAGACATAGAGTAGGATCATTTCTCAGGTCATCCAGTACACTCTGGCTTTCCCCTGTTGTTTCACGATTAAGAGATAAATTGGGCATCTACCCCACAGAGTACGGGGCAGCCCGGGGGCATTTCTTGAGTAGCGCAGCATAAATTTGGCTCCAGCAGGGATCGGAGCTGATGTTAGCACCATCTAATTTCTACCACTATTGGCTTCCTAGAGGATAGGCGCATAGCTGAATTCTCGCAGGAAATCGGTGAAAATAATTTTAATTCCAACCTCTGCACAAATATACCTTGTCACGTGCTTGTTATTGTTCTGGTACCCTATGCAGGTCACAAATTGTTAGTCACATTAACAATGATGATGTTGCAATATTAACTAAACATTTATTAGTCAACTGCAAATGCTGAGTGTTATGTTAAGTGTTGTAAATACAGTCCCCTTCACATCCATGGGTTCTGCATCCACAGATTCAACCAACCCTGAATTGAAAATATTTGAAAACAAATGTCATGTTCCTACGGATGCATACTATGTCTACAGTTTACAGTTAGGCCTACAATGGTTGTGTCTGTACTGAACATATACAGACTTTTTATCTTGTCCTTATTCCCTAAATAATATAGCATAACAACTATTCACATAGCATTTACAAGGGTACAGGGGGATGTGCCAGGTTACATGCAAACACTGTGCCAGCCATTTTATCTAGGGACTGGAGCATCTTTGGATTTTTATATTGTTGTAACGTGTCAGCGAGATAACCAGAGACACACAGCCGAATTGTAAAGGAGCGCTTCATTACACCTGTGGGCTGCGGGGTACAGCTTCCCCAGATCCTCAGCACAGATTCTTCTTGCTCATTTGATTTTAAAGACAGAATCCCCATCCCCTTTTTGCCCCCCACTTAGGGGACCAGTACAGTAGTGGGTGTGACAGCGATTACAGAAGTCAAAAGGGCTCACAAGTACCTGCAAATACCAGACACTGCAAATGCCTCCCGACACGTGCGGCAACTATAATCTTAGGCAAAATTCTAGGGGTAATTAATCTATCATTGGAAAAATATCGAGGAAGTTCCATTGATGATAAAAATGGAGTTATTTAGTCGCCTTAGCCTCGGGGCCCAGGTCAGTATCCTCAGGGGTCCTGGAACCAACCCCCTCGTGGATACTGAGGGGTGGCTCCATTATTTCAGTTAATCCTCACACCTGTTACTCTTTCCACTTTCCAGCTGCAGAAATTGAGTGCTGCTGTTAGCACACAGGATCCACATCCGGGATGGCAGCCCTCCAGGGGCAGTGCCACTCTGCTTTTCCCCAGCTTCACCAGGGTCCCTTACACGTCCCTGGAAATGCACTACCAGCTTCCTGGCCTCGGTGGAAGGAACGGGGAGTGGGCGGGCCTACACCGAGAAGCCTGTCCCCAGGGCAGCACCTCCAGTTCTCCCCCGCTTCCCTTCGGTTCTTACATTTACTTCCTCGTGTTTGGACGGGTCTCTAAGTAAACTGAGCTCCCCAAGGGAGTCAGGAAGGCAGGGACTGGACCCTCACCTCCCTTCTACTTTCCAAGTTTTCCCTGTACGGTCCCTGCTGTTATTTTCAACTGACTGAAGAAATGGGCCTGATCTTGACGGGCAAGGACGCCTGGTTCCTTCTTATTTCTGAGGAAGTTTCCAGGGGGAGAGGCGGTGTTCGACTAGCACTGAGGGGGCCTTTGATTTCTTAGGGGAGCCAGAGGGCTCACTCAGCCACCCCATTAGAGGCCAGGCATAGTGCCCAAGGCACCTGTCATTTTAATGAGCCTGTTTACAAGGAGGAGGCAATTTTCTTCAAGTTGCACCAGTTCTGCTGGATTGAGGATACGTTTCTCCCAAAGGAGCTTTCTGTTTGGATTTTGCCCAAGGCCTTTCTCTCTGCCTTCGTTGTCAGTCCACAGAAAGCTGGAGAGGATGTTCAAAAGTCTTTCCTAATTCGCGGCCTACTGGGAAGCTTTGTCTTCCACCCGACTGGCAGCCTTGGCCCCTTGCTCTCCAGGGACGTAAAGACAGACAGCAAACAAAATTTCTTTCAGTTGTTCAGAAAACAGAATTTTGAAAGTAATGGTGGAAATAGTTCCCGATTTGGGCACCGCTGGTTAACCTGCGTGTCTTAGGGCCCTACCTTTTGAATAAGGTGATTCATGGCTTCCAAAAGGTTATTTTAGGAAGTGTGGTCTTAATTTGATTTTTGTGACCTCAAAGTTGATCTGCAAGCTTAAACAAACCAAGAAAACCCCCAACTCCCGCACTTTCGGAATTGACTGCTTTTACCTGGCTCAACGCTGAGAGAGTAGCTGTCTATTTCCAGATCCAGTTGTTGGGCTGCCGCAGAACAGAAGTCCTCCAGGACCCCGTGCACGGCCTTGGTGAGGTTGTACGGCACCGACGTGGCGAACCGCAGCTTGCTGTTCACAATCACACTTCCGTTTTTGAAGTTAAGTATTTCAAGTTGCTTAAATCCTGTGAGATTGGAGCGTAGATACGGAACCAGCTGCGAAGTGAGAGATGGTTTGCTCTTAAGTGTATGCTAAGCGCTCAGCTGCGGCTAGTCCCACCTGTCCTCACTGTTCCTTATCCGAGGCATAAATTCCCCTTCCTTGTTATTTACGTGTTTATCCTTGTGTGTTTGGATTTAACGGGAGACTGGAACTCCACCACTTAACGACCTATTTGCAGTGATTATGCCCCAGATTTCCACCTTTCTCTCTGTGTATTGAGATGGATGGGCAGCGGTTCTGTTCATAATGAATTGTGAGAACAGAGGATTTTAAAAATCCAGGCCAGTGTTATCAGCAAAGCAGGAATGCCAGGTTCAGGTTGTTTAAAAAATCCAAGTAAATAAAAACATGTTCCAAACTGAGCCCAGGAGCAGACTGCTTGCCCTACGCCTGTGCAAAGGGACCTCTAGTTGGAAGCAACCAACTCGAAATGAGCCACTGAGATAAACAACAGCTCAGACATCGGCCTGTCTGTGTACACAGGGTGTGTTTCAGGGTCAACACGATCGCAGTGCAGCGGAAACAGCAGGGAACTGGCAGCCGGTCCTGGAACTGGTCCTAACTAGCTGTGTGACCTTCACTGAGACACTTAGCCATGGTGTTGTACCTTGGTGCCCTGATCTGGCCTGTGAGGGAGAAGAAAAAGTGGCTCCCTAAGGACCTCTTCCCAACTATAATTTAACAATATCAGATGTCTGCCCCAGGGCACTGGCTTCAGGCTCCCACACCTGCCTCTTGTGGGCCACAGCCATCCTTGAGATCTCTCTCCAGAAATGGTAGTAATTCGGCCCTGTCTGCCTCGTTCCTGCCCTGAAAGTGAGCCACTCGTCCATGAACCGATACCTGCCCAGGGAGCACACAGGTGCAAGCTGCAACCTCCCAGGCTTGGCCCCGACAGGCTCCATTGTGTCCCGTCCCCACCCTACCAGAATTTCGATTCAGACCCTGACCCACATTCTTGTACAACCCCCTCGCCCCAAGGTTACCGTGAAAATAAAATAATTAGAGCTTGGAACTTCTTTTTCCAATCTAATCATGATTTTGCCTACATACTTTGAACTCATTCTTTGTGTCTGAGCATTGCTTTGGACTCTGGAGGGAAGTCCCTGCCTTTGCTCACTGTGCAAATGATTAGCTGCTCCTTCCTTCAAATCCATTCTCTTCTTTTTCATGAAAAAGGGGCTGCTTTGCTAGAGACCACATTTCCCAGGCTCCCATGCAACTTTGGTATCACTTGCTTAGGAAATTGCTTGCCCTGGGCTTTCTCTCCCCTCCTCACAAGTGGAAACAGGGAAGTGACCCAGTCTTGACTGTGTGAATAAGGAAACACCCTCGGATTGGCAGACTTACAAGATATAAGGAATATGCGTTCCTGGATGGCACTGTAGACTGAAGCTGTCCCACCCACCAAGTGAAAGAGAGGTGAACTTTGTATCTTACGTTACTGTATTTTTTACCTCTTCATTGTGGCAGCTTAGCATGTACCCTAGCGAACACACCTGGGCTCGATCCCCTGGGACTCCGTTCCCTGAGGTTGTCCCAGTTATCCACTCACCTCACTGTGGGAGGTTGTGGGGGGCTAGACTGCACAAAGTCTTCCTTTCAAGTTTACCTGAAGAATTCTATTTTATGTGATTTTGATTTATATGATTTCACTTACATGAGGTTCACAAATATTTTTTCTGTTATTTTCACAAATTCTGCACTCTCTATGATGTGCATTGTGTACTTGACTTTGGTACCGATTGTGCAGAGAGATTACATGGCTCAGTGTTTCTTACTGTACACGTGTTTCTTATCACACATGTAGAAACAAAGCAAATGTGGGTTTGAGGGGTGTTTTATAACCAAAGATACATGCTATCATGATAATTTTCTCATTTTCATTGTTATGGATCAGAAATGATTAGACCTTTGGCCACTTTTTAGTTTAAAAAAAAACTTAAGGGAAACTTAAAAAAGAATCTTTACCCCTGAACTTGGCCTCATCTGTGCCGGACCTTTCTAGCTTTGAGTCTTTTGGGCCGATGGCTGGAAAACAGTGACGCTGTAACGTAGGACAACTCTGCTCACATTGCTTTTCAATCTCAAGTTCAGAACTTGAGTGGCTATGTATTATACCTGGAAAAACTAAACTAGGAAGAACTGTAATGGAAAAATCTTAAATATAAGTCTGTTCCCAGGAGGTTGGGGGCCAGTGTCTGCTCCTGTGTCTACCAGAGAACCAACTTGTCCATTGGATCCGAACTCATCTCGGCACTTGGGCTGAATGCCCTCGGCAGTAGCGGTCCAATGGCTTGTCTCTTACAGCCTGCGTTGCTCAAGACAGCCAGTGATTGTGTCATAAAGTAACAACAGAAAAAAAAGAAGAGACAGAGAATTGTAAGTAGTGCCCACTCACCAGCTGTGTGAATCGCTGCTCCAGAGCTTGGTACTCCAGGGAGCTCTTGTCGAACAGGTCGTCGGAGAAGGGCACGTTGGCGACCCGCAGACTGAAGAACACCACCAGCTCTCGGCCCTTGGCGCCGGTGGTCATCGAGCTGGTGGTGATATACCGGAAAGCTGGAACAGGAGTGGTAGTTGCTGAGAAACGGTCTGCGGTGGACACATACCCGCTGAATCGTGGTATCTCAGAGGAGGCAGGAGTGTTAGATTGACCCATTTCATCGAAGTCTTGGACTCTATCTTGGCTGCCTGTACTCAACCGGCTGTCCTCTGAAGATGCAGGCAGATGTGAAATTTCCAGAGCTGCTTGGCTGATGGCAGGATAATCATCAGTGAGGATGGTGAGCCCTGGGACTAGCACTGTCTGGTCAATGGACATTCTGTCGGTGGCACTTGGAGCAGGCAGAGAGAAGATGCTCGGTGCCGTAAAGAAAGGTCGAGTTTCTGACAGGGAGGTAGAGCCCACAGCAAGTGGAGACAAGGAACTGTCCGTGGAGAAAGCTCCTGAGACCAATTCATTACGTCCAAGCATTGCACCAAAAAATAGAAGGAAAGAAAAAATCCAGAGTTAAACTTAACTTTAAAAAAATAACATTTATATTGATTAGTTTAATGTCATATTTTTAAAAATAAGAACTTGGTACAGAAACGGCAGGCAACCCTGTGTCTAAACCTAGGGAGACAGCAGATGGGTCCTGAATCCATTTTATTCAGGCCGATACCTCTAGATGCCTGAGACTAAAAGAGTACAAATTACCTAGAATTTCTGGAATTACACTCAGCCAGACACAGCACACCTGGGGACCAGGTGGTAAAGCTGACTAGGTCACCAGGTGGTGCCAAACAGCAGATGACATTGAATAGATTTGGATCCCACATCCCCACCTGGAATTCCCAACGAGCTGTGCGGTTTTGGCCCAGAAATTTTATTTGCCTTCCTATCATGCAAGCCTGTATTTTTCTTCATTTGGATTTTTTGGGGATTCCAGTTATCATATTTTGGTAGCTTTACCAATTAAAATTTAAATTGTGCTTTTCTGAAATTGTATAATCTGATTGAATAACTTGCTAATTTGCAACATGCTATTGAGAGAGTAAAGGTGTGGGTTACATGTATAATGTGAACTTTATATTCCCCACACAACTTGCTAAATATTTGATAATATTTAAAGGTTTTGTCACTTTTACAGGATTATGCCTTGATAATTTCTACCACCATCTTGCTGTCTTAGGTAGGTACACATTGAACTACTGACATCCATCCCAATGTTGGTGTAAAATTGAAATTAGTAAGTGTTTATGAGAAGTGGTGAAATAAAACTATCAGATAAAAACATTGGTGGGTTATTAAAGCATTCCAATAAACCTAAATCCAGAGCCACTGACAATATTTAAGACACTAGACAGATCAAAACAGAGAACTTTCTGCGATCACTGCAGTGGCATTTTGGCAAATATGTGGGAAGCTGGACTGAAATCCAAATGCTAAGCATGATGAATGGACTGTCTGGATGCGGCTATCGTCTGTGGACTCTCAGTCAGCTAATTTATGAGAATGCTATCACCCAAACTGAGATTCGAAGTGATAAACAGCTCCAAGAGGTGGAATCATATTACTTTCATCAGTATCTTAAAATAAAACTTGCCTGTTGGCAAACTGTACTCAGCTTTCAGAGAAGCATTCTCTGTTCTCTCACCTGGAGAGGGCGCCTGGTGTGTCCACTCATAGTTCACTCAACTGTCAGAAATGATGTTTCCTAGTATCCAAGATCTCTCTGGATATACACTGTCATTTTATTCAATCCATGACCATAGACTGAATGTTTGTATTCTCCCCAAATTCATATGTTGAAGCTCTAACTTCCAGTGTGGCCATATTTGGAGGTGGGGGTTGTTGGGAGGTAATTAGGTTAGGAGGGTGGAGCCCCTATTAATGGGATTAGTGCCTTTCTATGAGCAGGCAGGAGAGACGTGATCTCTCTCTGTCTCTTTCTCTCTGCTTTGTGAGGACACAACAAGAAGGCATCAGTCTGCAAACCAGAGGGAAGGTCCTCACCAGGAACCACATCAGCCAGCAACTTGATCTTGCACTCCCAGCCTTCAGAACTGTGAGAAGTAGATTTCTATTGTTTAAGCCACCCAGGCTATCACATTTTGTTATAGCCAGCAGCCTGAGCTAAGACATCCATGGTAGGATCTGGGATGCGTTAAGTGAAAGCTTCAGGTGCTATCAGTGATTGGAGTTGACTTCTTTGTGTTGGGGAAAATGCATGTGAATTTGTGCTCCTGTGATGTGACCTCTGTGCTCCTCCGGATGGCAAGGGTCAGGGAAGAAGGACTGTGACAGATGTCTTTGTTCTGCTCCTGGGCCAGCATCTCATTACGTACACCTTTCTCACTTTATAGACTTCAGCCAGATTAAAATAGTTCACTGTATTATGTCATAAACCAATACAAGTAAATTTCTAACTCTGTTTTTGTGGCATCTTAACATTAATCATTCACTTTCACAATAAACCTGTCTAAGTTATTTTACTGATAAGAACAGTTGGCTATTTATTTTATTTTATTTTTTCTTTTCTTTTCTTTTTTTTTTAATTTTTATTTATTTATTTATTTTTTTGTTACAGATATTTTACCTTTTTACTCCATTGGCACCCCCCACCCCACCCCCCCTCCACCCTGTCCCCGGCTTAGTTGTCCATGTCCATTGGTCATGCACACATGCATATAAGTTCTGTGGTTAATCTCTTCCCACCCCCCCACCCCCCATCCCCTCTTCTGAGGGATGTCAGTCTGTGCCCTACTTCAGTTGGCTATTTAAATGTAAGTTTGCTAGATAAAATACAGGATTCCCATTGGAACACACTTATACTGAAATATTGTTGTTTATCTGAAATTAAAATTTAACTGGGTATCTTGTATTTTTCTTTGCTGAATCTAGCAGCACTATTTAAATGTGATTTATTTTTTAATTTTTTTTTTTTTTTATCCTCACCCGAGGACATTTTTTTGATATTTTGTTCCGATAGAGTGGGCAGGGGTGCGGGGGGGGGGGGGGGGAGAAACATGATATGAAAGGGACACATCAAGTGGCTGCCACCCACACGACTCAACCAGGGCCAGGAACAAACTGCAATCGAGGTACGTGCCCTTAGTGGGAACCGAACCAGAGTCTCCCTGGACCGCAGGCCGATGCTCTAACTGCTGAGCCAAACCGGCCAGGGCTAAATGTTCCTACTCTCTCATGACTTGATATTGAAACGAAGGCCAAAATCAATTCCTTTGGAATAAAAATATCATACAAACCTTACCACTACTTGTAAATGTATTTTAAGTACATATAATTACATTTTCATCAGATTCTTACATAGAAATTAGGTTCGACAGTGACACAGGTCATTTGAACATGAAGGTTTTTATGTTGCACTGGAGAAGTCAGGCCCCAAAGCCAAGGCCATTCATTTCATCTTGAGGTATGCAAAACACACAACACAAAATAAGTTGACTATTTAGCTACTGTGTTGGAGTGTGCCGGGGGTGTGAGGCATGCTTATGGTGGGGATGCTGGCTAGAAGCTGTTGGGTGTAGGGCAGGAGGTATTTTGGTCATTCTCTGGGAAGGAGGCCCGGCGAAAAGCAAAGACCATAGATGAGCTAGTTCAAACCAAAGTAGAGGAACCCAGACCTAGCTGAAGCCCCAAGTGAGATAAGCCAGTAAAGGGTGAGGATGGGCTCAGTGTGGGCAGACAGAAGCCCATTAGTAGACAGAAGAGGGCCAAGAGAAGATGAGCAAAGTGGGAAGGACAAGTGCTGATGAAAGGCGATTTTAAATCCTACTTCAAAGGGTCACGTATACACACTTATATACACTAACTCATAAATATCAAGTGGTCACCTATTCTATGTTTAAAAATCTAAAAAACAAAAGATTCCAGAATCTCATTTTGATTTTCAAGTGGCATGATCAGGACATTCTTAATTCTATATCAAAGAAACCTATTCTTATTTATCACGACCAGAAAGTTATTATCTTCCTTTTTGGCACATTATAGAGACAGATATAAGTGTCCTTCATGGTTCTATACTATCAGTCCAAGTGTGAGGATGACTAAAGATATTTCAAACACCCCAAGTCTTCAAAACTCCTCCCAGGCAACCTTTCTTAGAATGGGTTTACCTAAGATAATAGGGTAAACCAAGAAATAGGAAGAAATGGGATACTGAAAATAAGTTAATGAAATATGCTGGAAGATGGTAAAGGGGTATCTTAGGGAGATAGGTAACCCAGCTGTGAAATTAGATTATTCTCAAGAGACAGGTATGTGGAGTACCTATGTCGCCAAGCTCTCCAAATTGTACCACATTTTTAACTTGACAAACTGCTGATGAGCGTGCTCCACAGAACAGGAGAGAGGGCCAGAGAGGAGGCCTAAGGTCTAGGGATCTGGGGCTTCAGCTCAGAGAAAGGCCAAGGACATTCTAGGGGTAATAACAAAGGCAAGTCTTAGGTGACAGCTGTCCAGAAAACCTAAAGAGGAGTAGTCCAGAGAGAAAGCGAAGGTCTCTGAAGATTGGAGTGTAAGTTATCTGATGTGGAAAATTTCTTGGAAATTTTAATGGAAAATTTGGGAAGAACTGGCAATAAGTACAAAGAAAACTAAGCAAATGAAAAAAATAAAACAACAACAACAACATTAACTCCAGGAAAACAGAAAGAAAACATAGAGCAAATAGATCAACTATGATATACAATGTAAACACTGGATATTGATTTAATAAGAATTGCCACCATATTGAGAGGGGATAGTATTGTGAGAAATTTAAATCCTTATTTAAGATAATAAAAAGTCTGTAAATTACATAGAAGACTGATAATGTGGAAGATATATATGATTTAAAAACACGAGAAGAGCAAGTACCAGAAGAAATAGCGAAGGGGGTCAAAGGATCTATTGGTTAATGGGCTGCGCCAGGAAGCGTGAGGTTGCAAAGTGCTCTATTTGTCAGAACTCTTTAATATGATTTGACTTTCAAATATTATTTTTATTTTGAGACAATTTTATATTCAAATGCAGTTCCAAGAAATCTCAGAGGGGCATCAACGAAAATGGCAGGGCAAGCAACTCCGAAAGTCAAGTTATCCTTCATGTTTGAATGTTACAGGTGTAAGTAGCTCTGAAGTAATCAGAAACATACACAGGTAAGACGAAAGTAGGCTTACAATGGTTCATATGGAAAACAATACAAGAATTAATAAGTAATAACATAAGAACGGCCTGTTTCCTGTCCTCACAACTGCAGACCGACTCTGCCCCACCCTGTGTTTGGTGTCTGGCCCGCGTCCCTGGCAGAGCCCGCTGCGCAGTGCCGGGAAGGTGGGCAGTCCAGCCCCGCAGGGAGAAACGGGCGGGGTGGCCGGCCTTGGGAGGTGCCGGGGACTTGTGAAGGCTGAGCCCCATTGGCTCTCAGAGCCGGTGATTTAGAGCCAGTCCTTCAGGC